TGAAATTAGCCATTTGAAAAAACAAAAGTTTTATAATATTAACAATTTCATACTATTTATGAATAAAAATATTTAACTAAGGGAAAATTTGGAGGATCAAAAGTAAATTCAGGATACATTAAACTAAAGGTTTTCTATCTCTCATCATTCCTTAAATGTTTTATAAACTCATTCTTATTATTTAAAGAATATCATTTCATATGCTCCATAGTCACATCATAAATAATCTTTGCAATCTTGGTTTCAATAAAACTAACACAACTTTTGTAGGTTGTTTCGTTTTTCTTCTTTGAATTCCATCTAGGTATACCAAAATGTTTGTATATTTGCAAGTTTTTTCATCATCTCTTAAATATAACATACAATCAGGTTTGAGCGAACTAGTATAAAAATACTTATGTTATTATTTTTTTTATTAAATGTTTTCCTAAAAGCTTATTTGAAAACACAAGCGTCTAATAACTATTGCATATTATCTAACACCTACAATAGTCATTAAACGTTATCTTACAAAAATATTTTAAAACATTATTCGAACCCCATCACTTTATAATGTTTTCATGTATTTCACATTTTTTTGCTCCGTGTGACAGTATATACATGCTCCTATCCAACAATGACAATTAACACTGATATCACCTCTTTCTCCTATTTCAGGATTTGTGCTTCTTATCTTGATTAGAAAACCTTAGATTTTTAGGGTTTTTCACTCTCCTAGTCATCTATGGCTTATTCCGTTGTTGTTTTGTCCATTTTTGTTATATGGAACTAATTAGGCGACTTGGGTATCAAACGTTAAACTTTGGCTTGAGAATTAAGGGTATTTTGATGATATTATTCAAAAAGTGTTTGTTATTGCTTTTGTTGATCTTCCTTGTTGCAAGAAAATTGATGCTAAGTTATGTATCATTCTCAAGGGTACCATTCATTATTCTTTAAAATAAATGTTTCTTGCCTACAAAATGTGTTTTAAAGTCTAGAAACAAGCCAAATTATTATACAATGACACTCGACATCTTTATGTTGTTTGTCGCGATCTTTTTAGTGTTGTTTTTCAACAAAATCAAGGCTCCATGAATGATTAGTTGGGTTAAAGTCATCCTCTTTTTTATGAATTTAGTGAGTTATTACCTCTTGCCTATACTTCTACCCAAGAAATAAAGCAGTTGTTAAAGTTCTTCATGGTATTGACATTACACGGACTTGGTGATACATATTCCTATGTCTGTAAACAGATTTTTAGTTCACCTGTTGTCCCCAATTTGACTTCTACTTGTTCTACTTTTTTTGCATGTACCAAATACACCCATCAATGATACACCTATTTTTGTTGATGATTCCTTTGTGTTGACATCTCAAGTGATGATCGCAATCGCTTTAACAAGCATAGAAAAAGACATCACAAATGTAATACTATGGCAAGTTAGGTTGTAAGATTGACCAGTATTATACATTACATGGACATTCTCCTTGATCTGCTACCGTTGTTCAGACTAATCCTCCTTCACAATCACCTACTATGAATCCTTCTTCATGTGATACTATATATAAGTCTATTACGATTAATTTTCTCAAATAGTTTGAGGATCAACAACCTTACAGTTTCGTTACATATGTAATTTTTGTTCATAACTCAATCTTTTTCTCTGGGTCTGTGGGCATATTATGTAATATTTAATTTATATTTAAATTAATTTCAATCAATTTACTTGAGAAAGAAAAACCACAAAGTTTAATTTATTTTATAATATATGATTTTCGATTCAATTTTTTAATTCTATTTTGAACATCGAATTACTTTCTAAGAAAAAATCTCCTATAAGTTATGACATTTTTTCACATTAAAAAAACTCTTTTTTAAAGTATCCAATAATTTGAAAAATTTAAGGAACTAAATTAAACTTTTAAAATTTTGAAAACCAAAATTAATATAAATAAATTAAAAGGCTAAAACTATAATTAAACCTTTTGATAAGGTTATAAATAAAGAATCATATTACTAATGTATAAACTACTCTTATAATTTTTAGTGATATAAATGTTTTTATTTATTTTAAAATGAACGAGAGAGAACACGGATGCGGTTGAAATTAAAATTGTTTGAATGAAGACATATTAGAGTAAAAAGTTATATTACGAAAACTTTTAATTATTACTATTTATTGATATTAATAATAAGACTGAATAGTTATTTTTGTTAAATGATTTTTCCAATTTTATTTTACTATTTATTTTTTAAAAACAGACAATACCATCTCTTCATCAAATCTTCCGATAACAATTATAATAATTTGGTTTTGGCGTAGGCTCACAGCGATGGTCACGTCACAGAAGCCATTACCTTCTCTTCTCACAATTCAGATCCTTATTTTTGAACCCTCAAACCCTTCCCTCAAATTCACCCTTTCGTTTCCCTCTTTCTTCAATAGCCCTTCTTTCTTTCTGGTCGCAATCTCAATTGGTATGTGATTCAGAATCAGAAGAAAATCGAATGGTCCTTTTCTTCCTCTAATCGTTAAAATGAAGGCAGGAGTGCTGCCAAGTTGATCGTCGACGCTTGCTTCAGCGCTTCCTCCCCCTCGCACGGCGTCGTATCGAAACCGCTCAAGCACAGGTATTTGCGTCACACACCTCTTTTCGCTCTGAACCAACTTTCCAATTTCGTGGTTTGAATTAACGGCTGTGATGGGGATTCACCGTAGGATGGGCAATACCTGCGACCATCTGATCCGGCCTACGAGCAGGTCCTTGATTCCCTCGCAATGGTCGCGCGCCACACTCCTGTTCCTCTGTTGGAAGCTTTGTTGAAGTGGAGGGAGAGGTTAGGATAATGTAACTCTTCCTCTCTTTTTTTTATTTTTGTTTTTCACTTCTCATTCAATTAATACTCAATTAAGTGCCTTTTTTTTATTTTTTTTTCAGTATGTTTTTTAACATAGCTGGTATAGTTTAGTTTAGGCTGAACTGCATTGTTGCTCACCCTTTGATAACTTAAGTTTAGAAAGTTTTTCTTTTTGGTTCTAAGGTGTCTGTGACCAAATGGGTTTTACACCGACGTTTCCTAGACTATGTTTGGATAAAAGTTAGGTTCGTCTTAAACTACATTCATGTTAATAGACAAAGAGTATTCTTGAATGAATTTCTGAAGTCCTTGCAGGAGAATAAAATAAGAAAAGAAATTAACTCATTGGTCATTTGTAAACTAATTTCTGGAAGCTCAAGTTTTAACTCATGCTTAGACTAATTTTAATGGAGATAAACTTGTTTCGCTTTTCTTTTCTTTCGTCCTAGAAGTGTTACGGAAAAAAATTGCCGAAAATATTTAGGAGAAACTTTTTCTCTTAGTTTGTGCTTGGAGTGTGTGTGTGTCTCCATTTGATAAGCTTCAGACTGCAATGCAAGAACTTTCAGACTTTACCATATGTCACCAAGTTAGGGTGTGTCATGAAACTCATTTGATTGATATCAATTTTTACACTTTCAAGGCATAAACGGATAAACAATGTATAGTTTAGTTTAAAATAAAGTTTTGGTTCTTCATCTTAAGTTTTTGGTTTCATTTTGATTTCAATTGGTTTAAAAAGTGTTTTTTGGTCTTTTGAAGTTTCTAGCTGAGACTGTACAGGTCATTCTGACAGTCTATTTTACACTGATGCTATCAATTTTACTTGACATGGCAAACGTGCCTGTGATGTAACATCTAGCACATTCACTTTGGCAAGTGTCACCAAGTAAGTGTTTGTGTGGAATGGTGGAGGGATCTTGGTCTGACCTAGGCGCTTTAAAAGACCAAATTGATAATCTTTAAACTTAAGGGACCAGACTAAAACAAAAAAATGTACAAGTGTATTCTAGTCTTTGGTCTATGATGTGAAACTTTGCTTATACTTGTACGTTTTCAACCCTTGTAGTTAAATACTCACTGAAATAATTAGTTTTTTTTTTTAACTTGTAGTGAATCTCCCAAGGGTGCCAATGATGCATCGACATTCCAAAGAAAGGTTTGTGGCAAGAATTTGTAGGATAATAAGAGAGAATTAATTCTAGAGGGGGGTTTGAAGCATGGGAGGTTGGTGGAGGGGGTGGGGGGGGGGGGGGGGGGGGGGGGGGGGGGGGGGGGGGGGTGGGGGGGGGGGGGGGGGGGGGGGGGGGGGGGGGGGGGGGTTTGCGGAAACGATGGGGGGTGGGGGTGGGGGGGGGGGGGGGTTTATGTAGCATATTTTTTGTTGATTTCAGCTTGCAGTGGAGTGCCATATTTTGCTCAGATGCATACGCTTTGTGGAGTGTTGCCACAAGAAGGACTTACTGGTTTGTATTTGTATATGTGCTTGTGTTTCTTTGTTTGTGAACATATGATGGACATTAATATTCGTTTGTTGTTACAGAAGAAACTGTGGTCTGGGCTCGAAAATTTTGTTTTTGACTGGTTAATAATGCTGACAGGTATTTCTGTTGTCGATGATTATAGGAACTTGTAGTATGTTCATAGTTGGTGAAAATATTTTTTTAATAAAGCAAATGATTGATTTGAATTATAAGATTATAGGGTTCTCTAAGAAACTTTTCCACTTTTTCAGTTCATAATGTGGTTGTCAATTTTAGGTTCTTAATTGCTTAAGACTTTCAGTTATCAAGATTATTTCAATCTAATCCTCAAAAGGTTTAAACTTTTGCTGCATTTGAGGCTCACATTTATGTAGAATGCTTCCAGTAGTGTGAAAAGAAAGAAAAGTCAGATACAATAAGCTTTTTTTTCTCTCCAATGATTGTTAACAATCATGGAAGAGAACAAAAGCTATGTATCGACTTTTCTTTCTTTCAACTATGAAAGCCTTTTACATTAAATGTGAGCATCCAATGCAGCCCAAAAATTTATTAAACCTTGTGAGATTTTTAGATTGTGGAAATAATTCTTGAATACTGAAAGTCTTGAATTAAGACCTAAAATGACAAACCACAGTCTGACTTATGAACTGAAAAAAGTGGAAAAGTAATTCTTAGGAGAACCCTATATCTTATAATTCAGACATCAATCATTTGCTTTATTAAAAAAATATTTTCACCAACTATGAACATACTACAGTGTTCCTATTATCATCGACAACAGAAATACCTGTCAGCATTAATTAACCAGTCAAAAACAAAATTTTCGAGCCCAGACCACAGTTTCTCTGTAACAACAAACGAATAATTAATGTCCATCATATGTTCAAAACAAAAGAAACACAATCACATATACATAATACAAACCAGTAAGTCCTTCTTGTGGACAACACTCCACAAAGCGTATGCATGCTGAGCAAAATATGCACTCCACTGCAAGCTGAAATCAACAAAAAATATGCTATCATAAACCTCCAAACCCACTGACCACTGTTCTGAAAACAAAACCAAAGCAAATATGCCAAAACTCTAAATTATACAAGCATTAATTAGCCTATCAAAATTCTTGCACACAAACCTTTCTTTGGAATGTCGATGCATCATTGGCACCCTTGGGAGATTCACTACAAGTTAAAAAAAAAAACTAATTATTTCAGTGAGTAATTTAACTACAACAGGGTTGAAAACGTACAAGTATAAGCAAAGTTTCACATCATAGACCAAAGACTAGAATACACTTTTGGTCACTTGTACAATTTTTTTGTTTTAGTCTGGTCCCTTAAGTTTAAAGATTATCAATTTGGTCTTTTAAAGCGCCTAGGTCAGACCAAGATCCGCTCCACCAGTCCACACAAACACTTACTTGGTGACACTTGCCAAAGTGAATGTGATAGATGTTACACACAGGCACGTTTGCCATGTCAAGTAAAATTGATAGCATCAGTGTAAAATAGACTGTCAGAATGACCTGTACAGTCTCAGCTAGAAACTTCAAAAGACCAAAAAACACTTTTTAAACCAATTGAAATCAAAATGAAACCAAAAACTTAAGATGAAGAACCAAAACTTTATTTTAAACTAAACTATACATTGTTTATCCGTTTATGCCTTGAAAGTGTAAAAATTGATATCAATCAAATGAGTTTCATGACACACCCTAACTTGGTGACATATGGTAAAGTCTGAAAGTTCTTGCATTGCAGTCTGAAGCTTATCAAATGGAGACACACACACTCCAATACACAAACTAAGAGAAAAAGTTTCTCCATAAATATTTTCGGCAATTTTTTCCGTAAACACTTCTAGGACAAAGAAAAGAAAAGGCGAAACAAGTTTCTCCATAAAATTAGTCTAAGCATGAGTTAAAACTTGAGCTTCCAGAAATTAGTTTACAAATGACACATGAGTTAATTTCTTTTCTTATTTTATTCTCCTGCAAGGACTTCAGAAATTCATTCAAGCATACTCTTTGTCTATTAATATGAATGTAGTTTAAGACGAACCTATCTTTTATCCAAACATAGTCTAGGAAACGTCGGTGTAAAACCCATTTGGTCACAGACACCTTAGAACCAAAAGTGAAACTTTCTAAACTTAAGTTATCAAAGGGTGAGCAACAATGCAGTTCAGCCTAAACTAAACTATACTAGCTATGTTAAAAAACATACTGAAAACAAAAATAAAAAAGGGCTAATTAATTAAGATGAAGTGAAAAACAAAAATAAAAAAAGAGGAAGAGTTAATTATCCTAACCTCTCCCTCCACTTCAACAAAGCTTCCAACAGAGGAACAGGAGTGTGGCGCGCGACCATTGCGAGGGAATCTAGGACCTGCTCGTAGGCCGGATCAGATGGTCGCAGGTATTGCCCATCCTACGGTGAATCCCCATCACAGCCGTTAATTCAAACCACGAAATTGGAAAGTTGGTTTCAGAGCGAAAAGAGGTGTTGACGCAAATACCTGTGCTTGAGCGGTTTCGATACGACGCCGTGCGAGGTGGAGGAAGCGCTGAAGCAGAGCGTCGACGATCAACTTGGCAGCACTCCCTGCCTTCATTTTAATCGATTAGAGGAAGAAAAGGACCATTCGATTTTCTTCTGATTCTGAATCACATACCAATTGAGATTGCGACCAGAAAGAAAGAAGGGCTATTGAAGAAAGAGGGAAACGAAAGGGTGAATTTGAGGGAAGGGTTTGAGGGTTCAAAAATAAGGATCTGAATTGTGAGAAGAGAAGGTAATGGCTTCTGTGACGTGACCATCGCTGTGAGCCTACGCCAAAACCAAATTATTATAATTGTTATCGGAAGATTTGATGAAGAGATGGTATTGTCTGTTTTTAAAAAATAAATAGTAAAATAAAATTGGAAAAATCATTTAACAAAAATAACTATTCAGTCTTATTATTAATATCAATAAATAGTAATAATTAAAAGTTTTCGTAATATAACTTTTTACTCTAATATGTCTTCATTCAAACAATTTTAATTTCAACCGCATCCGTGTTCTCTCTCGTTCATTTTAAAATAAATAAAAACATTTATATCACTAAAAATTATAAGAGTAGTTTATACATTAGTAATATGATTCTTTATTTATAACCTTATCAAAAGGTTTAATTATAGTTTTAGCCTTTTAATTTATTTATATTAATTTTGGTTTTCAAAATTTTAAAAGTTTAATTTAGTTCCTTAAATTTTTCAAATTATTGGATACTTTAAAAAAGAGTTTTTTTAATGTGAAAAAATGTCATAACTTATAGGAGATTTTTTCTTAGAAAGTAATTCGATGTTCAAAATAGAATTAAAAAATTGAATCGAAAATCATATATTATAAAATAAATTAAACTTTGTGGTTTTTCTTTCTCAAGTAAATTGATTGAAATTAATTTAAATATAAATTAAATATTACATAATATGCCCACAGACCCAGAGAAAAAGATTGAGTTATGAACAAAAATTACATATGTAACGAAACTGTAAGGTTGTTGATCCTCAAACTATTTGAGAAAATTAATCGTAATAGACTTATATATAGTATCACATGAAGAAGGATTCATAGTAGGTGATTGTGAAGGAGGATTAGTCTGAACAACGGTAGCAGATCAAGGAGAATGTCCATGTAATGTATAATACTGGTCAATCTTACAACCTAACTTGCCATAGTATTACATTTGTGATGTCTTTTTCTATGCTTGTTAAAGCGATTGCGATCATCACTTGAGATGTCAACACAAAGGAATCATCAACAAAAATAGGTGTATCATTGATGGGTGTATTTGGTACATGCAAAAAAAGTAGAACAAGTAGAAGTCAAATTGGGGACAACAGGTGAACTAAAAATCTGTTTACAGACATAGGAATATGTATCACCAAGTCCGTGTAATGTCAATACCATGAAGAACTTTAACAACTGCTTTATTTCTTGGGTAGAAGTATAGGCAAGAGGTAATAACTCACTAAATTCATAAAAAAGAGGATGACTTTAACCCAACTAATCATTCATGGAGCCTTGATTTTGTTGAAAAACAACACTAAAAAGATCGCGACAAACAACATAAAGATGTCGAGTGTCATTGTATAATAATTTGGCTTGTTTCTAGACTTTAAAACACATTTTGTAGGCAAGAAACATTTATTTTAAAGAATAATGAATGGTACCCTTGAGAATGATACATAACTTAGCATCAATTTTCTTGCAACAAGGAAGATCAACAAAAGCAATAACAAACACTTTTTGAATAATATCATCAAAATACCCTTAATTCTCAAGCCAAAGTTTAACGTTTGATACCCAAGTCGCCTAATTAGTTCCATATAACAAAAATGGACAAAACAACAACGGAATAAGCCATAGATGACTAGGAGAGTGAAAAACCCTAAAAATCTAAGGTTTTCTAATCAAGATAAGAAGCACAAATCCTGAAATAGGAGAAAGAGGTGATATCAGTGTTAATTGTCATTGTTGGATAGGAGCATGTATATACTGTCACACGGAGCAAAAAAATGTGAAATACATGAAAACATTATAAAGTGATGGGGTTCGAATAATGTTTTAAAATATTTTTGTAAGATAACGTTTAATGACTATTGTAGGTGTTAGATAATATGCAATAGTTATTAGACGCTTGTGTTTTCAAATAAGCTTTTAGGAAAACATTTAATAAAAAAAATAATAACATAAGTATTTTTATACTAGTTCGCTCAAACCTGATTGTATGTTATATTTAAGAGATGATGAAAAAACTTGCAAATATACAAACATTTTGGTATACCTAGATGGAATTCAAAGAAGAAAAACGAAACAACCTACAAAAGTTGTGTTAGTTTTATTGAAACCAAGATTGCAAAGATTATTTATGATGTGACTATGGAGCATATGAAATGATATTCTTTAAATAATAAGAATGAGTTTATAAAACATTTAAGGAATGATGAGAGATAGAAAACCTTTAGTTTAATGTATCCTGAATTTACTTTTGATCCTCCAAATTTTCCCTTAGTTAAATATTTTTATTCATAAATAGTATGAAATTGTTAATATTATAAAACTTTTGTTTTTTCAAATGGCTAATTTCAGATCCAACTATATAAAAGAGCTTCTCTTAGTGATTTTCTAACAAAAGAAAATTAACTCCATTAGCAAAACTCAATAATTAAAGAAAAAACTAAATAACTGAATATATATAACATTATCTAATTATATTTTATTTTAGTATATCTTACCATGTCTAAATCAATCTATCCATTTTCAATGAATTATTTAAAATATGATAAAAAAAATATTTTTATTAACGTAACCAAATCAAAGCTCAATTAAATTTACACAACCAAATTATAACTAAAATATATTTTTCATACATCATAGTAAGATATTGTACATAAAAAATAAAGAAATATTTTACAATTTGTCTCTAACCTTTTCAAAGTTAAAGTAAATATATACACATTAAATTATATTTTGATGATTTTGAGGAATGAGATGAAGCAATTAAAAACAACTCCAAAAGAAAATTAGGAAGAATTTAAGATATTGAGGAATGAGATGAAGCAATTAAAAATTTAAGATATTGATACCTAATATTCTTCCAATAGCATTAACATGAACTTAATAGAAAGATTAATATTATACAATATTAAATAAAATTCACACTAAATTAAATACAAAAATATTTAAAAATAATTAAATATTTCTATTTTAAAAAATAAATACCAATTGAACATTTTTGTCTTTTCTAAAATTATTTCAAGCATTTGTTTTTCACAAAATTTTCAGTCAAAGTGTAGTTATGAAGGTTAAACTGATGAATAATTTGAGTGATGTATATTGGTATATTTTACAATTTTTTTATTTAATACTTTGGTCTTCTTATTAGTTAGTTTTGTTTAAAATAATATTTATACTTTTGAGTTATTAAAATGGTCATTCTTTTATAAAAATGGTTCAATTTGGTATTTTTTGTTGACCGCGTTTAAAACGCTAATGGTGTAAAGTTCACCTTAGCCAATTTGTCTAGTTTTAAAATACCTAATCATTGACATTAGAATGTTAAAATTTTTTATTTTACTTTTTATATTTTTTTATTTTGTTCTTAATATATTATCATCTTCTTCTAGTTAAACACATTGCCAGCCACAATTGCTCGCACCCAAACTATCACCGAAAACCCGAAATCAAACCACCATCGAAAAACCACAAACCACAACCATCACCCTTTAGACAGAAAAAACTTTAGAATCCCAAATCAAAATCCTAGTCTCAAATCGTGAGATAAAAAACTTGTAGAGAAGAATCAAGAACATAAACCTCAAATAACAAAGCCCAAATCAAAACCCTAGCTCCAAATTGCGAGATCAAAGCTGTAGAGAAAAATCAAGAACATAAACCCCATATAACATAATCTAAATCTAAATCTTAGCTCCAAATGCAAGATCAAAACTTGTAGAGAATAATCAAGAACAAAAATCCTAAATAACAGAACCCAAATCAAAACCCTAGTCCCAAATTGCGAGATTAAAACATGTAGAGAAGAATCAAGAACAAAAACCCCAAATAACAGAACCTAAATTCAACATAGTCAATCACGACTCCTAACTAGAAAAGGAGAAGACGAAACCTCCTACCTAACCACCGGGATTCACGAGTTCAACCAGAAAAGAGTAAGGAAAAGAAGTTTCTATCAAGAGTTTCATGATAGTGAATTGAGAATTTAATTAAGGTAAAATAAATTTAATTGTAATAGAAAGAGTTTAAGTAAGGCAAATGACTTTTAACATTGTCATGTCACTTGGTTGATCTTGACACTTATTTTAAAACTGGACAACTCATTAAGTATTGGTTAAGGTGAACACCTTAACGTTTTAAATGTTGTTAGTAAAAAAGACTTAATTGAACCATTTTTATAAAAAAAGGAATCACTTTGAACCACTAAAAAATAGAGAGGTCATCTTAAACAAAACTAAGCGAAGAACAAAATAGATATTAATTTTTTTTTTCATTTGGCCAATAATAGAGAGTTCATCTTAAACAAAATTATGATATGTATAACAGGGTGAAAATCTTTAAATAGGCTTAGATTTTTTTAATAATTTAAATAAATCAATTTTGTTTAAACAATCCCTTTTCCAAATTGAAGTTGCACTAGTATAATAAGTATTGATTAAAACAATGGCCAACAACAAGATATATTATTTTGAAAACATCTTTAACCATTTTTAACAATACAACGTATATTTTAATCATAAAATAAATTTATTATTTTAGCAATATATGAGAATGTAGGATTATAAATAAATGTTTACAATGAGAAGACGAGGATATAAC